TGTTTATGAGTTTTTTTTAGTTTGATCCGAATAAAATTTTATAATTCCATGATTATTTATTCAAGTTTGAGTAATTTAATGAGTTTAAATATTTTAATATTCGATTTGAATAATTAATTAGTCTAATCTCATTTTTATATTTTTTTATTATTTTAATTTAAAATTATTATTTAATCTTTGTATTTATATCAACTTGAGTTTAAATTTAAATACATAATCGAGTTTAATATTGAATATGAAAATCAAACTCATTTTTTATTGTATAAGATTAATTAAAAAATTTTGAATATCTCAACTTTTATCTTGAGATGAATTTAAATTTAAAAATTAAAATTTAATTGAATTCAAATGAAATTCAAATTCAAACTTATTTTTTTGAGTTGATGGAAAAGCAAAATAGAAATCAGCCTCAGAACACCTTAAAAAAAAAAAAAGAAATCAATCTCGCACTGAAATCATAAAAAAAAGCTTGGAAATTGAAAAGAGAACCTTCACTTATTTTATTGGTAAATTCGAACAAAAGAGATTAATAGAACACTCAGCTTCTGATGGTAGAAATGGGTTTTTGCTTCTTTTTTTTTTTTTTGAGGTTTAGGGGCCGAAGATTGGTTTTATGATTATTACGTAAAATGTAGAGAAAAGAAGACTTCTTTTCATCCAAGTCTTCTTCTTTTTCTTTTAATATTGTTATTTCCTTATTAAATTCCATAGTGGCGGACAAAAGCCATATGACCCAGGACTTGTTTTTCTCTCGGGTCTTTTTTTTTTCATTCTTCCTTTCTTATCCAAGTAATGGAAGACAGCCCAAATATTTGTCCAAAAATTTCCGAGAAGTAACAAAAAATTTTATTAATTGGTATCATATTAAAAATAATTAGTGAAAAAATTATAATATATTAATAAATAAAAATAAAAATTATTTTTATTTTCGTAATATTCAATAATCTTAAATCAAAATTATAATACATGTACATTTAGTTAATATATATGTTAATTATTTTATAAAATACGTACATCCAAAATAAAATAAAATAAGTACATTTTTAGATATTAAGATTATAATAATTAATTTATTTTTTATTAATTTAAATATAAATATTTCTTTCCAATTAATTATTTTTATTAAATATCAAATAATAAATATTTTTTTATTAAAACACCCTTGGTAGTTCCAACTTGTTTATGGAGCTATTGCTTCATCCTTTTTATCTCCAATAAACGGAATTCACAATCAATCCAGAAGAATTTCTCATTGGTAAATTAGATCATTCTTAATTCATTCTAGGAAACAATTAAAACAGCAAAAGAACTGCCCCGAAATATCTGCCCGTGTTCACTAATTAATAATAAAATTAATTATCATGATTCATCACATAAAAAAAAGTTAAATTAAATTAATAATACATTTCAGACGAAGAATTGAGATATGTTAAAAAAACATATGATACAAACAGCTTAAAAATACAATAAAAGTGAAAGCATATTTTTCATACACTTGAAAATTATATAATTAAGTTATTATGAAACAAACACACAATAATAATTCCAATAAATTGGGGAAGCTTTAATCTAAGGCAAGCTTGGCTATTCATTAAGCCTTTTATGAAGTCTACGTCGGCAAAATTCATTATTTTGTCCAAAATAATTACATTGTATGATTAAATTTTTTGGTACTTGATTAATGGTTTTTATGTACAAAAAGATACTTCACCTATTGTCCTTGTCTTGATTAACTTTAATAATAAAATATGAAAGAAAAATAGAATATGATTTGCAACAAACAGTCAAAACAAACAATAAAAGATGGCGTTCTACCGATCAACAAATTAATTGAAACAGTACTAATCCAAAGAAATTGACCATTTGCTGCAAATTGGGAAAGTAAAAGTAAAGATTGAAAGTAATTTCAAAGAACGAATAAAAAGCAAACCATCATTCAAATTAAGAAAATCTATGCCTAACTTAAGAAAAACCAATCAAATAATTCCATCTCCACTTTTAGTAATCCAAATGCCAACAACATCCTTATTAGGAAAAGGAAATTGAAGATGAAAACTCTCTATATATTTATTGTATTCCCAACTTAAACTTAATGCTTTAAAACGATGACATTTGGATAGATTGAGGTTATTTCAAATTAAAAAAAATCAAATTATTTTGAATTCAAAATTTTTTAAATTTGATATTTAAGTTTTCTAAGTTTAGATCATCGAATTTAGGTTAATTCGGATCAAATTGTTGAGTTTTAAATTAATTATATAATTAAATAAATTTGATTCATTATTCAAATATGAAATGTATTATTGATTGGGAATATAACTAAAATGTTGACAACCAAACTCTCAAAGAAGTAAAACTCAATTGGTTAGTGTATAGTGGTGGATCTTGATATTTAATTTTGAGAGAGTTAATCAATATTGGCATAAGAGTAAAAAAATCCCTCAAATAAAAAATCATTTATCAATTAAGCTTCTCATATTTTAATGCAATTAATCAAGCCCTAAATCTTCTATTTCAAACTAATTGAATCCTTAAACATTTATTTTCACCCAGTTGAATCCTTATACATATATTTTCACTCAATTAAGCCCTCGATTGGATAGAAAAAATTAACCATTTTTCTCTAATAAGAGTTTAATTAATGAAAATAGATGTTTGAGGGTTTAATTAATTGTAAAAAAAAAGAACTTAAATGATTATTGAATTTAGTTTAGAGGCTTTTGTGACCTTTTGCCATAAATATTATATTGAATTTTAATTTTTTTCTTCATAAGTAACCTACTATATATATTATCAATAGAAATAGAAATATACTAAACATAACTTACAAAATTATAAATTTTATCAATTTGTATAAAGAAACATAATACATCAAATAAATCATTTTACTTAAATTTGTGAATGATTTAAAAAAAAATAAACCAATTGCTAAATAACATATTTTCTTATCAAAACAAGAAAAATAAAATATATCATTAAAAGAATAAAATTAAAACTTTGCGATTAGAAGTTAGTAATTTTTTAACCTTTTAAATATTTATTCAAATCTAACTTTTGTCTTGAATAAAAAATTGCATTATAACAGGGAAAAAATCTAAAATAAAATTTAAAATGAAAATTATATGGAGAGAAGTTGCAGTTGATTAAAAAGAAAAAAAGTTTGATACTTGATTATAGATTTGAAGTCTTATGAAAAAACTAGAAATTTAATTTGTCTTTTGTTAAATGGATATGATTATGATTGTAACAAGTATACATTTCCTAATTCTTATAATAAATCTCTTGATTTTAAGGGTTTGTAAATAATAATTGATTGGTATAACAAATAAATAAAAAATAATATGATTTTAATCCTTCTTAAACTATAATGCATAACATAGGTATACACCCATAAGCGTAAACACGCATGAATTTTAACTGCCCAAAAAAATTTTTTATAATACTTTTTTATTGGTCTTCTGCAAATAAGCTATTCGGATTTCAAAATATTATTAACTAGTTTAACTGAGTGAACTAGATATAATGCATTCACTCGAAGAATAGAACTTATAGATTATTTGATTTCCCTAACAAACTTGATTATCCTTGACATTTGGGAGGAGCCAATGACCCCTTTTGACTTGTATAACCATCCATCTCTGCCTCATGTTACTGGGGTTTTTAAAATTTTAAGGGTTCAAGGAGCTTTCAGGCTTGCAAAACCATCTGTCTCTGCTAGTGTACTTGAAAGGCATAAAATAGGTTGTTGAATTCCATGCATGTGTTGGAGAACAACGTGAATGTCACGCATTTAGGTCCAAAAGTCGCAAATCCAGCAAAAGATACCCCGAAATGAAAACAAAACAAAGCTAAGGTGACCTTAGGAACTCAGCTTCTTTTAGAACTTTGGAAACATAAATTGAAAGAGAAAAAATAAAAGAAAAAATAAAAAGCTTAAAGAGAGTATCTTGGAGACTCTAGGAATGAACGGAGGAAGTGTGGAGGAGGATTTTATCTCCATTCCTTGTAAAAAAGAGAAAATTAGAGTTTATAAAGTTAAATTTTAAATTTTAAAATCTACATTTCACTTTTATTATTCTCAAATTGTGGCCTTCTTTATATTAAAAAATGTAACAATGTCAAAATAATTAACTAACTCTTAATTTGGATTTACATTGACATATTAAAATTAAGAATTAGTTAATTATTTTGACATTATTTTATTATTTAATATAAAGAAAGTTGTAATTTAAAAATAATAAAAGTGAAATATAGATTTTAAATTTTAAAAATTTTAAAAAATTATATGAGTCAATTAAGTTAAATATAAAATTAAACATTATTATATTTTTGTAAACAAACAACACGTTTGAATATGAAAGTACACTTTATAATTAAACTATTAGTAAGCTTAATTTTTTAATCACTTTAATTAGCAAATTATATTTAATTTAAGTATTATAATACTTAGACATAGTTTGATTGCAAATTTAACTGAAATTATTTCTTCTATATCCTATACACAATAAAAAAAAATTTATTGGCACTTATAAGTGCTAGTAAAAGATTAAAAAATGCTGCTATTACTTTTGTCGACAGTTTTTTGACCGCTGGCAAAGTAAGTATTGGTGAAAACTTTTTGACAGTCAAGTCATTGGTGTTAGAGTTACACATGTATTTGTCAGCATGAATTTTTTCAACACTTTAAACTATCATTATAAAAAAAAAAAAAAAAATTGAAAAGATTTTAAAGTTTCAATAAAAATCACATTTTATTCAAATTTTTTATATTTATTAAGTAAACTATATTGACACTTAAAACTGACCTAAAAATATTATTTTATTTTTTACAAATAATTTTCACATTTATAATTGTTGTACCAATAAAATAAAAAAACAATTCATTTTTGTTTATTTTCAATATCTCTGAAACTACAACTTATAAATGTTCTAGAAAACTTTTGATACCATGGCAATTTGATAATTTCATTATAAATGGACTTAAATTGTCATCCTCAAGTTTCTGTTCATTGAGGGATACATGATCTAAGACCGATTATTTGAATCGGCAAAACATTTATATGGCGATCATGGCTTGAGGTCATAAGCATGCAGAAGAGACAGGAAAAAGTCACATAATCATGTCTTTCTGGATGCAATTTTAAACGTGGTACATGGATTAACCAAACGATACAAACTGAAACGTCTAACCAAACATTTTCTTGTAACTACTCAGACCTTAGTGAAAGCATAGTTAATTACTTTCTCGATCTATCTAAAATCCCAGCTAGCTAGCCTATCAGCTGTTCTCGGAGAGAATCTATGGCCTGGTCAAAGACTATTTCATACATTTTTTCTGTTGGATGAACAGCATCCCAGAGTACATATTTTGATGCATCAGCGCATGTGCTCATGCCTTTGCATGTATCTCCATATTCTACTGTCCCCGTTCCACGACATCCTTTGGAAGTTTCAGCCAAACCTGTCAATTTATTTGGGGGTTTCAGAAATATATATATATATATATATATATCATTCTTTTGCATTTTAAAACCAAATAAAGAAGAAGAAATAAGAAGGATTGATCAAAGCCAATTACCATATTTTTTGGGGTTGTTCACAGCATCCTAACAACATATTTCCGTTAGGGTCTTGAAAAAGGGCATGCAGCCCAAGGGAGGGATCCCAACAACGACTAATCGTGTAATTCTAAGCCTATGCATCTTCTGCAATAATCAAACAACATGAAAAATTAAACGTAAAACCAACAGAAGGTAGCTAGGAAAATAATTATTGAGATTTGTAAAAACTTGTTAATTAATATTTCATGCTCCTAATGTAAATATTGAAATTTGAATCGCACACATCTTAAATGTTATCCTTTAAAGATAATTACATGAATTAATTAAACTAAATTTCAGATTAATGGAATTTTCTTTTTTCTAGGCTCATTCCCTGTCTTGGGTCATCAATTACAAAACCATTAATTATCCTAAAAGCAATAATTTAGGGCTATAAGCAAAAAATTGTTAGAATAAACGCATGGCTCAAATGTGATTGATCATTTAAACCTATATATGTAAAGAACATCTTATAGAAGACTACACTATTAAAGTGAAGCATAACATCAAACTTTTAGTCATAATAGACAGCAAATTCTGCGCTGACCTCTTTTCTTCTTTGCATAAAATTTCATATAACACCAGCCTGGCACTTATACATGTTGCCTCAAGCGTTGACATTGAACTTACCACTTCAAGTAAGAAGCCCCCTCTCTAAGTCCCACTTTCTGTCCTGGATCTTTAGCAAAAGGTGGTGCTGCTGCTGGATCAAGATTTTTCCCCTCTTTAGTAACAAGACCCTTAACAAGTAATAAACAACAGAAAATTAAGTATTTATCCACCATGTGGAGGATGAAATTAAAATTACCAGATGGTCAATTGACATATAATTAAAGTCCGAGTATTTAGATTCCCAGAGTCAAACCATAATCATTTTCTAATAAGAAATAAGAAATTAAAAAAAAAAAAAAGATCATTTTTCTAGTAAACCTTTTTCCACTTGTTCTGTTCATGCAAGCCTCATCTTTATTACACAAGAGAATGGGCATGTTACGTATCTAAAAGAACGGAGAGGCTTGCACAAATAGGATGAAGAGTAGTAGAGTAGTGGAAGTATAAAACCATACATTTTATCAAGTGGAAAAAGTTGTGTGGCAGTCTATTTTGGGTTTTCCTGTCATCCTCAGCAACAGCTTTGCACAGCCATCTAAGAACACCCAAGCCCTGCACTGGAGACAGAAAGGTGGAATGAGATAAAAGCCAAGAGAGATCGGCGCAGACGAAATAGCCTGAAAATTTTGGTGAAAGCGCTGAAAGCCAAAGCCTTATCTATAAGTTAGTCAAGGTACCTTCCAGCTCCACCACAAACTATCTTTTGTTTGGAAAGTCAGCCAAATGATCAACCTTGTGCTCTTACAGTTTCTAACAATCCAGCAAGTGTAACTCCAGAAGTTTCTCTAAGAGACATTAAGCACAACTTTATAATAATGGTGGCATTCATAGTAATTTCAGAGCAATCTGCATTACACTAGACACTAATCTAGTCCATAAAAGTAGAAAGTTGTTGCACCAAGAGTTTACCCTTTTATCATCATTAAACATGCAAAACCTTTTCCGATAGTGTTCCAGAGTTTCAAAGGTCCCTTTCATTTGAAAATCCTCAAACTGAATGGTGTAACCATCAAATAAACAACATGATATAAACCAAGCATAACACAAAATTCTCACTTGCGAAAGAAATAAACCTGTACAATAGCCTTAGGCCAACCTGTGAAAACTGCTTCCATGAACTCATCAACAATTGACAGATATTCTTCCCCTTCTAACCTAGGTTGTCTTAATCCTAAATCTGTCAAGCTAAAAGAACTTGTCAAAAAAATCCTAACAACCTATCACATAGTCACAGCAATCATATCATATGGTCGACTCTGCAAAGGTAACAACTTCCTAAGAACAAAGTAATTGAGTACACATTTTAGTCACAAAGCCGGTTTTAAAGTAGCCTTTGATTGTTAGTACCAACATCTAGCATAACTGGGAGTATCTGTCAGAGACAGATACTGATTGAATAATTAAAGTTATAACGCATGACAAGAGTCACCATAGGAAGAAAAAATTGAAATTTATGGAAACAAACTTTCAAAGCAAGATATAAATCAACTCAACAGCTCTAAGACAGCAGTGAACAACTTTGCGATTTTTCTTGGAAATTATTTGCTAAAGAGTTTTCAATGACAATAGAATAAGAATTTATATCCTTTCTCTTTGATTCACATAAAGCTCTAAAGGAGGCAGGTTCTGCAAATGAATGGAAGACAACCACATTGCAAAGTTGAACTATAATCAGTGCAACCACATTCCAAAGATTTTTTTGAGGCAAGATTCGTTTTGCTTTCTTTGTGCTTGTTCAAGATACTAGCATTTACATAGTTTTTCCCCATAATCATTCCCAGACAACAACTTACCCATATGCCCTCACTGAAACTCTATAACAATATGTTATTAAAACTATACACTCTTTTACTTATTTTACACAAAACACGAAATGAGTACACAAAAAGCAACTAGCTCATGCTCATGCTCATGCAAAATAGGCTATTTGGATCAAGATTCTTTATGAGCAATTCTCACTCAAATTGGAAATTAAATTTATACTTACAGTAAACATCGCAAACTACAACTATTTATCAACAATATTCAACTCAAATTGTTTTGTATGCATTTTCCTACCTGTGCTTAGTATAGTGAGAAGCAACTATGGCTCAGTCTTCACAGGGTCTTCAACAGAGCTTCTATACTTGGCTATCAGATCCCTAAAATTGGAAGAAAAAAAATGCACACATTCATCAAGTAGAAACATTCAATTGCAAAAAACATAAATCAGGACCGACTACTTGCCTCTGATTTAGCAATTGCTCACTTTCCTCCAGCTTTCGCTGTTGTCCTTCAATAGTCTACATCCAACATCGACAAATTCCAAGTTATAGAAAGAAATACTAATACTAACACAGTACCACATTTTAAGAATCTATCATCACAAACCCTAAAAAAAAAATGCCATTAAAATTATATATTTTTGTTGTGATATTTGTAATATATACTTATAATTTTGTGCTAATTACTTATAAGAAATCAAGTTGAACTAAAACTCAATCTAACCTAAAGTAAATTTTTTAAATTTAAGTTGAACTCAAATTTCATATCACAAACTTTTTAACTCAATTATACCTCAAGCTGAACTAGTAATTAATGTATTTGATATGTACTCAATCGTGTTTATGCTAATAGAAAGTTTGATAAAAGTGATATAAAATTAATTTATCAATTATCTATCCGATAATTTTTATATTCATATAGTCTAAAACACTTAGTGTATTAGTATTATGTTTTATGCAAAAATTGAATATTACATTTCATAGCAACATGAAAAATACGAAAAATAATTTTTTAATTTTTGTTAAACCCATATATAAATTTTATTAAAATTTTAACTCATGTTACTTGCTTGTCTTTTTTTTTATTATTTTCATATCATATTACTATATTATATTTTAAATTATCAAATCTATCCAACTTTTTAAAAGATTCAGATTGTAATACCTTCAATTGTTATAAGGTATATTTTTCACAATAAATTATCAATAATTGTAATTTCATATTAGATTATTTAATTTAGTAATAAATATATATAATATTACGGAATAAATGGACAGATCGTTTGACTAACTATTTGTAAATATGTTCAAATTATATTTATTTTTTTAATTTTAATAAACGATTATAAATAATATTTTAAGATTTTTTAATTAAACGAACATATCACAAACATAACAAAATTTTTTCATATTCGATTCATTCGTAAAAATTAATATAATGTTTTACAAACAATTCGTGAATATTCTTGATTTTTGTTTATTTATTAAATTTAACAAATGATTATAAAGAATATTTCATGGTTCATTAATGACATTACCATAACTATATTTAATACCAATAGAATTTTTTGACAAATTTTTTTCATAGATAATTACAAATAGAATACCAACGAATTATCAATGAAGTTGAAAAGTGAAATTATCAATTTATTACCATTGAAATACTGATAATTTCCATCAATAAATACAAATGAAAATTTTTTGCATTAAAAAAAATACAAATGAAATAATTTCCATCAATAAATTTTTTGCATGTCTACCAAATTTTGACGCTGTACTTACGAATGAAAAATTATATAAATAACAATGTAGACACATTTTACCGATGGAATATCAAGAAAAAATTTTGTTGATTAATAATTTAGGTGCAAAAAATTTTTTTAATTAATAAATAAAATTTTATATTTTGAAATTTTTAAATCCATTTTCATCGGTATTTGTTTGGTGATTTTCATTTAGGAATAAAATCCCTAACTCTTCTCTTAAGCATTTATCTCCCTCACTCACAGTTCTCTTTTCGCACCCCCTCCACTAGACCGTCATCCCTCTTTTCTATCCTCAATTCCTCCTCCGACGGCCTTTCTCCTCCACCGTTCACTGCTATAACATCATTTGTGACTGAGAACATCTCAAAAACAGGTAATCGAGGAAGCTTCAGGTGAAACTATATATATTTTTAAATTGATGCTTCTTTTAATCATTTTTAGAGCCACACAAGCACTAAAGGAGAAGAAATGAGATGCATAGGTGATGGGAGATGGGCATAATGGGTTGACAGCCGCGGCTTACTTGGCTCGTGACAGCATGTCCGTTGCCGTGCTCGAGCAATACCTTTCCATAGAAGCTTCAGGTGAAATTTTTTATTTTTTTTATATTTTAAATTTTTTGTTAATAATATGAGTTTTTATATGGCATTTAATTTGAAAAAAAGGAAAAATTAAAGAGACATGTTTGAATTTGTCGAAGCTAATAAGGACGACGTTTACTAATTGGCTGAACAATTTAAAGAAAAGTAAAATTTCGAGGAAAATGAAATCTCTAATTTCTTTGATACTATGTGTGATGAATCATGCTCTGTTTTGAATGTCCACCATGTCTCAAATTTGTATTTTATTTTTATAGTCTCCTTCCAATTTTCAACAAATTAGACAGAACTTTGATGTTTTTTTCTAGGTTTTGATGTAACGGTAAAGTTAAAATTCATTTTAGCTTTTTAAATTTTCCATCAACTATATTTTCTATGCAATTTTAAACTTTGATTTGTGATGAACTAGAGCTAGTTAGAAAGTCGATTCAATTTGTTGAAACACCAAATCATCTTATTTGAGATATAGTATGGTAAAAAGGAAGTGAAAATGCTTGCTTATTATAAGCTTACTATGTTCTTATTGAGGTTTGTTTGTAATGAATGAGTTGGGAATCTTTTGTTCTGTTTCTAATTAAGGTCATGGCTATTTGAATTAATATATTTAACATCACTTAGTGTTAGCAATAAGCCATTTTACAATTTTATGAACCATTGTCAAATGTGAGTTGGTGTTTTTCATTTTCTATGCTTTTTATTGAATTTAACTTTTATTTCTAGTACTTAACTAATTCATCTGTAGGTTCTTTGTCTTCACTTTTCCTGCAATTCATCTATTAACTAATGCCTTCTAAGGGACCAAGGTCCAACCTTGAGCATATAACAAGAGCTAGGTGTCAAAAGGTAATAGTTTCTGAGGTTTTTGTAGCTCTCTTTTGTGGTCTCTTATATTGTTATTATTGTTGTTAGTGTCATCATGCATGAGCATACATGCACATGCTTAACCGTAAAGAAGTTTAAAGATGAAATCTTTGTGGAAACTTAACCTTTTTAAGAGTGAATTTATATTGAGTATTGGCTTAACTTTCATGAACTTTTTGTTGTACCTTAGTTTCTAAATTGCTTTTGGCTGGAAGCAATTAGTTGTTATTTTCTAATACAAGTGAGGTTTTCTTTTGACTTGTGCTTTTTAAGTTTCATTAGCAATTATAGTTTGAATCCATCTCCTAATTGTAAATAAAATCCAGTTTTATAAATGTTCTTCAAGAATATCTACCTACACATAAATGAGTAAATCTTTCAAGAATGTGAAAAGAAGAATTCCATACTCTAAACACTTGGTGATGTGCGTCAATTTGCTTGGCATTAGTGCTAACATGGTGCTTGTCCAAGATGAATTTTGTTTTGTTCTGCATATTCTGCTTGGCATCATTTTGTTTTGTTTCCAAGCCTATCATTTATCTTGGCCTTTAGTTTGCTTAATATGGTTTTGCGTATCTTGTATGCATCCAAAAATTATGATTTTTTAGTTCATTTCACATGATTTTACTTTAATATTATTTTTAATAAAGCTTCCAAATTTGTTATGGAAATAGATTGCTCTAGTAATTGAGCCCAAGAATACAGAAGCAAGTCCTATGTACAGACAAGTTTAGGAGGTGTGGCCAACGGCCAATGTCAAGTTCAATTGCTTTGGTTGGAATTTTGTATTGATAAATTTTTTATTAGCTTGATTTAGAGTTTGTATGTTCTCTTGGTGATGCTGCTAAAAAATGTTAATTGTTTTGTTTTGTGATAAGGAAGTTAATGATTGAATATGATGGACGAGCCAAAGTTAGAAGGTAGTCCTTGAAGTGAACAGAGTGTGGTTGCCACTCCAACGAGACCAGAATCCAACAAGTCCTTCTAGTCAATCTTGTTCTACACTTATTTTAGTCAGTAGTTGATATATTTGCTTTAGTAACTATATTTAAGAACTTGAACCGGTGAATATTGGTTCTCGTAGACTGCAAGAAAATGGTACTTCAGGATTGTAAAATATTATTATTCATGTAATTACTTAAAAAATAAATTAAAAAACTAGAATAAAATGAGAGAATTTACAAACAAAGTAGAATTATATATGATTAAAAACCAAGTATTATCAGTCGGAAATATTAACTATTACCAATGAAATTTTAACTATTAAAGACGGAGGTTTTTTTTTTACAAAATTGAAAAAAAAAATTATTAAAATAATATACAAAATGAAAATTTGGTCAGTAAATTTATTGATAATATTATTACAAACAAAAAATAAAATATTATCAATAAAAAATTTTTATTGATAATATTTCATTTTTTGATAGTGTTAAACGAACAAATCACAAATATAACATAAATTATTTATGTTTAGTTTATTTACATCTCTAATAATATATTTTAAAAAATAAGTTAAAATTCTTGGAAAATAAACAAATTTTGAATGTGTTTATGCGCTTGGAACTATACACTAGCTTGATAATCAATAATATGATTAACTTTACTCAAAAAATAAAAGGAGTATCAAGATCACCATCACCATTATCATCAATTCTCTCAGATAAACTTATCAGATTCTGTTTAGAGAGTTCTGTAAATGTTAAGACTACATGAAAAGTAACAGGAAGTACCAGCAAAGTGGCAAGTTTTTCTTAAATGTTAAGATTAAACTTATAATTTCACAATTTATCTCATTTTCTTATAAAAAAAAAAAAGGGAGATTATTTTTTAATTAAAAGTTTCCGATGGCATTCTTTTCTAATATTTTTTAGTGCAATTTAAATAAGTTACACAATTAACAAGAATTACCACTGGATCTTGATACAAACTTGAAAAAGTAATTGATAAAAATAACATAATAGAACCTGAGTTTTAATAATCTATTAAGTATCAAATTTAAAATTAATTGATAATTAAAATTTGTGCATTGATGTTTTAAAAGATCCTTGTTTTCAGTCTGCTAGTGGAAAGGACAACAAACTATAAACTTTTAGCTGATAACAACAAGACATAAATAAACAGGAATGCAGTCTTTGTACCCTCATAGAAATTTGCATTCTAATATGATCGCAATATTTGTCTGCAAGTCTATGAAGTTGGGTGAAAGGTTTGTGAAATGCTGCAGCAAATTGACAACTGCTTCATTCACTTGCATCTCCCGAACTCACATTCATTTCTTCATCTCCCTCCTCTGAAAAGGTGTGTTATCCACTCCATGGTCTACACCACTCTATATCACTACCAATTGGCCATGTTGTTTGTTGAGCTGTAGTAGAGTCTTCCACTATATTTTCATCAATTGATCGGATTGCCTGCAAAACAAATTAAGGCATGGCGTGTGAAGAACAAGAAGCATGTATAATTCAGTAAATTGAAATAATAGCGCAATAAGGACCATTGAATGAACCCAATAAGAAAGATTGCCACCCAATAGAACAGGGAAGTAATATTGCCAGCCAATTGCATTTTCAATTTCATTAGGAATTAAAACAAACACATGGATGACATATTTCAATTGAAATCCATAACAAGTTCCCTTGAACAGACGACATTAATATTGCATAATCAGTAAAGCTGAAAGAGGAAATGAAAGCATGAAAAATGTAAAACAGATGAACCTCTCTGTTCATAAGCTTATACAAGTCCAGCTATGCAAAAGGCAGGGCAGCTTTTGATATTTTGTATTGAGAGTTAGGGAGCGTAGCGTACCTCTGTTTTGGCATGCCCAGATTCCTCTGAATCAACACTAAAGCTTGTGCTTATATTGGGAGAACCTCTTATGGCTAAAAATTTCAAAGATGGGAATACGAAATGATAACCCACAGAGCTGAAGCTCACAAGGTTCGGTAGCTTTTCAAGAATTAAGGTGCCCAATTGAGGTATCTGTATCACTTTCCCTTTTTCCTCGCTACCATTTGCCTCATCTCCTGATTGTTCAAATACTTGTTCTAATTTGGAGACGTTCACAACACGTAGAATTTTTAGTTTTGGAAGGCCATAAGCAACACTCACCGGAAAGAGACATTTCAAGTTTTCACATGAATAAATGCGTATTTCAGTCAGATTAGGGAAGCATATAGATTGGAGATGATGACCTTGTGATGAAGTTTGACCATCCTTTTCAATAATTTGCTCCAATTCCTCACACTCATCTATCAATAAAGAGCTCAATTGTGGCAAATTCCGAGCCATGGTAAGTGATAAGATAGATCTTAACCTTCCGCATCTACAGACATTTAATTGAGTGAGGTTTTGAAAGTTGACAACTTCGATGGGATCTTTCCATGCCACCCGCAATTCAGGTAGTCTATCCAATTCAAGTTTCCTCAAACTTGAAAGATTATATCCACCATCAAATAACTCTTCAAAATTAATGATGGTTAAATATTCCATGTTTGGTAATTTTTGTCCCAATTTAGGAACTATCATATTGCACGATTGCTTCCTTTCCCTCATATTCTCAAAGTGTAACATCTGCAATCATATCATTTAACTATTAATTCAAAAAATATAAAAAATAACAAAAACCTTATTATTCTTTATTTTTTAAATTTTATATAAAATTTTTATTCTAACAATCTTATCATTAAATTAAACATATTGCTTTAAAGGTCCATTTAAATCATGATTAAAAGAATCGACCAATATAAGGAAATCTAATGTCAATTAAGTTTAAAATTTAAATTTCTTAAATTTTTTATTCTAATCAATTAAAATTTAAAAAAATCCTTAATTTAGAACCATATCTCTTATAATTATTATAGTACAATTAACTAATCATAATTTAGTATTGTGCAAGGCCCATCAAAAAATTGTTTAGAAGCCACGTTTTAAATAGTGGCTACATAATTCTTAATTGTGATTGGTAAACTATAATATTGTAACAAAGATAATTATGAATGAAATACTCTCAATTCATTAATTTAAGTCAAAGACAAATAATTTAATTAAAATATAAAACAACAGTTTTGAAAAGATTAGTTCTATATCATGAATAAAAATGAATCCTAATGAAACGTTTAAAAACACAAAGTACTAATACATACTACATATGGCTTTTCAATATATCTAACAAATAAAGTTTGTTCTAAGAATTATGATTAAAGAAATATATTTTCTTATATGCGTTAAAATATTTACAAAAATATTATTACTTTTAATTAATTTTTTTATTTGGTTTAATTTTTAACTCAAAACTAAATTATTAATTCAGTTTGGTTTAAAAATTTTTTGGCGTTAAAATTAATTTTCTTTTTTATTCTTTGGTACCAAAGATAAACAAAAAAACAAAAGAAAAAAGAAAAAGGATTAGAATAAAAATTATTTTAAAAAAAGGTTTTATTAAGTATAAAAGAATGTTTTTCTCCCAATTTAAAAGGATTAAATTTTGATAGATTTTTTTTTCTTTCCACTCTCTATTCTTCCACTCTTTTCCACTCCCTCCAACCAAGCATAGTTGCATAAAAAAATAATAGATAAATACATTTTAACCATGCATTTTAAACATTTATAATTAATTATAAATTATTTTATTGATAAATAATTTGTTTAATTTTAGAATATTGTAATTTAATTATTATTTAATTTAATAATTTATGTTAAATTTATCTTTATAAATTTAATGAAATATCTTTAGGTTTAATTTTTCTAAAAATTATATTTGAGTATGAAAATCAAAACTAATTTTATATTAAAAAAAGTAAGATAATAATGCTAAATAGTACGAACATTATTTTTATGAGAAGAAATAACCAATTTGTGATATTAATTATTTAAGGCTTTTTTTATGAGAAGAAATGACTATTTAGCATTTTATGCAATAATTAATTGAACTTAAAATGAAATCTCCTAGCTACATATTTCCTATAAACTCAATCTCCTAAAACATTAAAATAACTAAATGAGATTGATATAAACAACTCAAGAAACTAATTATAGTAAATTCCTAAAGATTGAAAACAAAAAGTAATAACATTTTTAGAATGGACAATTCCTACTTCAAATATAAAGTAAAAGACAATTAGCAAAGAAACTATCAATGAAAATTAATGTAAATTACACCATACATCCATGATTTTTGTACGATATTTAATTTCCATTCATAGTTTTAATTAAAGCTCAAAATTTTCATTTGAGTTTTTAAAAATATTTCAAATTCATCAATTTCAACAGTCAATCATTAAAATTTAACTAAATTTATCATCTCAAAATACTGTCTTTGTGTGTGTAGAACCACGTAAACATGCACGTGATAAAAAGGTGAGGGGTTTTTTTGAACTTTTTAAGTTGAAATTCTTGTCATATGCACATCCATGTGACATTAAAATAGATTTGTTCTATAATTTTTTAATAATGATTGGTGTAATAGATGAATTTAAAATATTTTAAAAAGTGTAAATCAAAAAATTGAGTTTCATAAGATTGTAGATGAAAGTAAAATAATATTACACAAAGCTTATGGATGCCTGATGCATTTTAATAGTGACAATTATTTTATTGAGATTTTAATGATCACTACTTAAGTAGGGAGAAGTAGATTCACATTAGTTTTATCCAAAGTGATACAAAATCTATCTTTTAAATATTGTTGCACTTGAAAACTTTTTGGTCATCGATTTATCAAGAAAAAAAATCTAGTCAACAACATTAACACTATGTAGTCAAATTATTTTGCTTTCTTAGTGTTTGTTTCCAAAGAAAAAAAATTATAAAAAAAGGTTTTACTTAAGAAAAAAAGAATTCTCTCTCCCAATTTAAATGCGTCAAGTTTCCATTTTTTTTTTCTCTCTGCTCTCTCATCTATTCTTCCACTCTTTCTATTCCTCCTACCAACATAGTTGAAAGAGTAAAAACACAAATAAATAGGCTTACCTGTATTTTATCCGAAATGATAAAGGAAGTCAGTTGTGGACAATCAGCCACACACAACTCTTGTAAAGATGGCACCGTGAGTACAATGTCATTTCCGTCCCTTCCTTTTAATTCAGGCAACCTTTCCAATGTAACCTTATTCAGCTGTGGAAGACCTTCAGCTATTGAGATTGGAAAAGTATATTCCAATCGGGAGCAATCCCGAATTCTAAGTTTTGTCAATTTCTCCAAGCTTTGCCCATGCGACAATGAGGAAAGGGATGTCAAGTTCTTGCAGGCCTTTACATGTACTTTCCTTAGACTTTGGAGATTGATGTTTGACACTTCCGTTTTGGGAATTATTTCTTCCAATTTCAAGCAGTAGGATATTTTCAGATTTTCCAATTGTCCAAGACTTTTAGCAACAGATGTTGGGAAGAGATATCTCAATTTATTGCAGTTGTCTATTATTGCAACCTTTAAACTTTGTAAGCTTACATGATGACTGGTTCCTTCTTGTATGCTCCTCACTTCAGCAATCTGAAATAGCACTTGCATCTCATCATAAATTCCATAAACAGTGATTAAAATTTGACAAACTATATCATCTCCGAATCATGTGTATGTATGTCCATGTGAACTATCATGTGGTAAGATGGTGTTTTTTGACTTTTTAAGTTAAAATTCATGTCATATGCACATCCATTAAATTTTTAACAATGATTGGAATAATAGATGAATTTAAAATATTTTAAAAGGTTTCATTCTATTAAATTTTTAACAATGATTGGAATAATAGATGAACTTAAAACATTTTAAAAAGTCGTACACGAAAAAAAATTGAGTTTTATAATATCGTAAATGAAAGTAAAACAATATTGCACAAAACCTATAGAGAAAAGTAAAATAAAAAAAGCTATCTTAAAATTCCACAACTGATCTTTAAATGATCATTGTTTAAGTAGTGAAGAAGTAGATTTACGTTAGTTTTACACAAAGCGATACAAAGTCTATCTTTTAAATATTGTAGCTCATAGACTTGAACTTTTCGAACACCAGTTTATCAAGAAAAAAAAATTCTGTCGACAACATTAACACTATGTTTAATCGTTAGAAGAAAAATAAAGAGAGGGAAAAAGGGTGAGGAAAGCAAAAATAAATGATAGAAAAGAAAATTAATTTTCTTTTTTATTGTTTGGTACCAAAGATAAAACAGAAAAAGAAAAAAGAAAAAGGATTAGAAGAAAAATTATTTAAAAAGAGGTTTTATTAAGTATAAAAGAATGTTTTTCTCTCAATTTAAAAGGATTAAATTTTGATCGATTTTTTTTTTTCTTTCCACTCTCTATTTAAAAGTGTTGTCAACTTCTCCAAACTTTGACCATGTGACAATTAGGAAAGAGATGTCAAGTTACTGCAGCCACTTACAAAAACTTCCCTTGGACTTGGGAGATTGATGTTTGACACTTCCGTTTTGGGAATTATTTCTTCCAATTCCAAGCAGTCGGATATAAGCAGTACTTCCAGTTGTCCAAGACTTTGAGCAACAGACGTGGGGAACAGATATCTCAATTTATTGCAGTTGTGTATTCTTACAAACTTCAAACTTTGTAAGCTTACATGATGACTGGGTCCTTCTTGTATGCTCCTCAATTCAGCAATCTGAAGTAGCACTTGCATCTCATCATAAATTCAATAATGCTAAATGGTGATATTAAGGGTTTTTTAGTTCATAGTATTAATTATTTAAGGATTTTTTATGAGAAGAAATGACCATTTAGCGTTGTATGTAATAATTAATTGAACTTAAAATGAAATCACCTAGCTAGATATTTCCTAAAAACTCAATCTCCTATAACATTAAAATAACTAAATGAAATCAATTTAGACAACTCAAGAAACTAATTATAGTAATCTCCTAAAAATTGAAAACAAGTAGTAATAACATATTTGGAATGGACAATACATTCTTCAAACATAAAGAGAAAGACACCTAGCAAAGAAAATGTCGATGAAAATTAGGTAAATTACATCACGCATTTATGATTTTTGTAAAATATTTCATTTCATTCACGGTTTTAATTAAAACTCAAAATTTTTATTCACGAGTTTTTAAATTCAAATTCATCAATTTGAACAATCAATCATTAAATTTTGACTAAATTTATCATCTCAAAATATTTTTTGTGCGTATGTGTGTATAACTATGTAAACTTGCACGTGATAAAAAAGGCGAGAGTTTTCAAACTTTTTAAGTTGAAATTCATGTCATATGCACATCCATTAAATTTTTAACAATGACTAGAATAATAGATGAATTTAAAATATTTTAAAAGGTTGTGTTCTATTAAATTTTTATAATGATTGGAATAATAGATGAACTTAAAACATTTTAAAAAGTTGTAGATGAAAAAAATTGAATTTTATAATAACGTAGATGAAAGTAAAATAATATTGCACATAATTTATAAATGAAAGTAAAATAAAGAAAGCTATCGTAAAATTTCACTATCGAGCTTTAAATAATCATTGTCTAAGTAGTGAAGAAGTAAGTTTACGTTAATTTTATGCAAAATGATACAAAGTCTATCTTTTAAATATTGTAACTCTTGGACTTGAACTTTTCGAACACCAATTTATGAAGAAAAAAACAAATTCTGCCGACGACATTAACACCATGTTTAATTGGTTGGAAGAAAAATAAAGGGAGGGAAAAAGGTGAGGAAAGCAAAAAGAAATGATAGAAAAAAAAAATTAATTTTCTTGTTTATTGTTTGGTACCAAAGATAAAAGGAAAAAGAAAAAGGATCAGAAGAAAAACTATTAAAAACAAGGTTTTATTAAGTATAAAAAAATGTTTTTCTCCCAATTTAAAAGGATTAAATTTTGATCGATTTTTTTTTCTTTCCACTCTCTATTCTTCCACTCTTTTCCACTCCATCCAACCAAGCACAGTTGCAAGAGTAAAAGAAAAAAAATACAAATAAATAGGCTTACCTGTATTTCAGCCGAAATGATAAATTGTGTGCACTCTCTCATTTCCAACTCTTGTAAAGATGGCAGCGTGAGTACAATGTCATTTCCATCCCTTCCTTTAAATTCAGGCAAACCTTCCAATGTAACCTTATTCAGCTGTGGAAGACCTTCAGCCATTGAGATTGGAAAAGTATATTCCAATCGAGAGCAATCCCGAATCGTAAGTGTTGTCAATTTCTCCAAACTTTGACAATGCGACAATGAGGAAAGAGATGTCAAGTTATTGCAGCCACTTACATGTACTTCCCTTAGACTTTGGAGATTGATGTTTGACACTTCCGTTTTGGGAATTATTTCTTCCAATTCCAAGCAGTCGGATATGTGCAGTACTTCCAGTTGTCCAAGACTTTGAGCAACAGACGTGGGGAACAGATATCTCAATTTATTGCAGTTGCGTGTTCTTACAAACTTCAAACTTTGTAAGCTTACATGATGACTGGGTCCTTCTTGTATGCTCCTCAATTCAGCAATCTGAAATAGCACTTGCATCTCATCATAATTCAATAATGCTAAAATGGTGATATAAGGGTTTTTAAGTTCATAGTACTTAATTTATTTAGAGCGTTTTTATGAGAAGAAAATGACCATTTAGCCATTGTATGAAATATTTAATTGACTTAAATGAAATCACCTAGCTAGATATTTACACATAAAAACTCAATCTCCTATAACATTAAAATAACTAAATGAAATCAATTTAGACAACTCAAGGAACTAATTATGTAATCTCCTAAAAATGAAAACAAGTAGTATAACACTATTTGGGAATTTTTTTGGGACACTGCAGAATGATCGATTATAGGTGTACATCACGCATTTTGTTTTTAAAATATTTCATTTCTTCTACTGTTTTAATTTAAAAAACTCAAAATTTTTATTCACGAGTTTTTAAATTCAATTCATCATTTGAACAATCAATCATTAATTTTGACTAAATTTATCATCTCAAAATATTTTTTGTGCGTACGTGTGTATAACTATGTAAACTTGCACGTGATAAAAAGGTGAGAGTTTTTAAACTTTTTAAGTTGAAATTCATGTCATATGCACATCCATTAAATTTTTAACAATGATTGAAATAATAGAAGAATTTAAAATATTTTAAAAGGTTCTGTTATATTAAATTTTTAATAATAATCGGAATAATAGATGAACTTAAAACATTTTAAAAAGTCATACACGAAAAAAATTGATTTTTATTGTATCATAGATGAAAGTAAAATAATATTGCACAAAACTTATAGAGGAAAGTAAATAAAAAAAGTTATCTTAAAATTCCACAACTAATCTTTAAATGATTACTGTTTAAATAGTGAAGAAGTAGGTTTACCTTAGTTTTACGCAAAGCGATACAAAGTTTATCTTTTAAATATTGTAGCTCTTAGACTTGAACTTTTCAAACACCAGTTTATCAAGAAAAAAAAATTCTGTCGACAACATTAACACTATGTTTAATGGTTGGAAGAAAAATAAAGAGAGGGAAAAAAGGTGAGGAAAGCAAAAATAAATGATAGAAAAGAAAATTAATTTTCTTTTTTATTGTTTGGTAGCAAAGATAAAACAAAAAAAGAAAAAAGAAAAAGGATTAGAAGAAAAATTATTTAAAAAAAGGTTTTATTAAGTATAAAAGAATGTGTTTCTCTCAATTTAAAAGGATTAAATTTTGATCGATTTTTTTTTTCCACTCTCTATTTAAAAGTGTTGTCAACTACTCCAAACTTTGACCATGCGACAATGAGGAAAGAGATGTCAAGTTACTGCAGCCACTTACAAAAACTTCCCTTGGACTTGGGAGATTGATGTTTGACACTTCCGTTTTGGGAATTATTTCTTCCAATTCCAAGCAGTAGGATATGTGCAGTTCTTCCAGTTGTCCAAGACTTTGAGCAACAGACGTGGGGAAGAGATATCTCAATTTATTGCAGTTGTATATACTTACAACCTTCAAACTTTGTAAGCTTACATGATGACTGGTTCCTTCTTGTATGCTCCTCAATTCAGCAATCTGAAATAGCACTTGCAATCTCATCATAATTCAATAATGCAAATGGTGATATTAAGGTGTTTTTTAGTTCATAGTAATTAATTATTTTTAAGGCTTTTTATGAGAAGAAATGACCATTTAGCAATGTATGTAATAATTAAAATTGAACTTAAATGAAATCAACCTAGCTTAGATATTTCCTAAAAACTCAATCTCCTATAACATTAAAATAACTAAATGAAATCAATTAGATAACTCAAGAAACTAATTATAGTAATCTCCTAAAAAATTGAAAACAAGTAGTAATAACATATTTGGAATGGACAACGTACATTTCTCCAATATAAAGAGAAAGACACCTAGCAAAGAAAATGTCGATGAAAAATTAGTAGGAATTCGCTCACGCATTTATTGCTTTGTAAAATATTTCATTTCATTCACCGGTTTAATTAAACTCAAAATTTTTTATTCATGAGTTTTTAAATTCAAATTCATCAATTTGAACAATCAATCATTAAATTTTGACTAAATTTATCATCTCAAAATATTTTTTGTGCGTATGTGTGTATAATTATGTAAACTTGCACGTGATAAAAAGGTGAGTTTTAAACTTTTTAAGTTGAAATTCATGTCATATGCACATCCATTAAATTTTTAACAATGACTAGAATAATAGATGAATTTAAAATATTTTAAAAGGTTGTGTTCTATTAAATTTTTAATAATGATTGGAATAATAGATGAACTTAAAACATTTTAAAAAGTTGTAGATGAAAAAAATTGAATTTTATAATAATGTAGATGAAAGTAAAATAATATTGCACATAATTTATAAATGAAAGTAAAATAAAGAAAGCTATTGTAAAATTTCACAATTGAGTTTTAAATAATCATTGTTTAAGTAGTGAAGAAGTAAGTTTACGTTAATTTTATGCAAAATGATACAAAGTCTATCTTTTAAATATTGTAACTCTTGGACTTGAACTTTTCGAACACCAATTTATGAAGAAAAAAATAAATTCTGCCGACGACATTAACACCATGTTTAATTGGTTGGAAGAAAAATAAAGGGAGGGAAAAAGGTGAGGAAAGCAAAAAGAAATGATAGAAAAAAAAATTAATTTTCTTGTTTATTGTTTGGTACCAAAGATAAAAGGAAAAAGAAAAAGGATCAGAAGAAAAACTATTAAAAACAAGGTTTTATTAAGTATAAAAAAATGTTTTTCTCCCAATTTAAAAGGATTAAATTTTGATCGATTTTTTTTTCTTTCCACTCTCTATTCTTCCACTCTTTTCCACTCTGTCCAACCAAGCATGGCTGCAAGAGTAAAAGAAAAAAATACAAATAAATAGGCTTACCTGTATTTCAGCCGAAATGATAAATTGTGTACACTCTCTCATTTCCAACTCTTGTAAAGATGGCAGCGTGAGTACAATGTCATTTCCATCCCTTCCTTTAAATTCAGGCAAACCTTCCAATGTAACCTTATTCAGCTGTGGAAGACCTTCAGCCATTGAGATTGGAAAAGTATATTCCAATCGAGAGCAATCCCGAATCCGAAGTGTTGTCAATTTCTCCAAAATTTGACCGTGCGATAATGAGGAAAGAGATGTCAAGTTATTGCAGCCACTTACATGTACTTCCCTTAGACTTTGGAGATTGATGTTTGACACCTCCGTTTTGGGAATTATTTCTTCCAATTCCAAGCAGTCGGATATGTGCAGTTCTTCCAGTTGTCCAAGACTTTGAGCAACAGACGTGGGGAAGAGATATCTCAATTTATTGCAGTTGTCTATTCTTACAACCTTCAAACTTTGTAAGCTTACACGATGACTGGTTCCTTGCTGTATGCTCCTCACTTCAGCAATCTGAAATAGCACTTGCATCTCATTACAAGATTCAACTTCCAACGATTCAAGACTCTGTAGAATTGGAATTGCATTGGTTAGCACCTGCTGCTTTGTAGTATCAATGAGACATTTCATATGCTCGCAACTCTCAATACCCAGAGAAGTCAGCTCACTGAATACCACTTGGCCCGACTCCAAGCTTGGAACAAGATTTGGGTAACCCACCATATCTTTCAGATTAAGAGATTTTGTATCCCCTAATAACTGCTTGCATGCCTCTATTACAGACCCCTCAATCTTTAAAGATCTCGAGAATGGGCAGATCTCAGAGTCCATCTTCAGTCCATAAAAATTAGAAAAGCCAAAGCCAAGGCATACATAAAACCTTTGTAATTTACAGAACACAAAGTCTCTTGGAATATCTTCAGAAGAAACCTCTAAAGATAATACAATCAAGTTTGAGAAGGAATTCAACTCTGATAGACTGGCAAATCTTTCTCCTCGAACAGTGCTCTCAGTGGCCCATTTTAATAATTGACAACCATGCAAGTATAGTTCTTCTAATTTGGACAATCTTCGTATTAACTGAGAAGGGATTCTCTGTAGTTCTTCACAATATGATAAATCCAACAATTTAAGATTATCCAAATCACCTATTTCTTCTGGCAATTCTTTGATATCAGAGCAACTAAATGAAAGAACTTCAAGTTTCTTCAACTGCCCAAGCACTGAGATGTCCAAGAGTTTGCAACTTTCCAAATGTAGAGTTGTAAGGTTTGTTTGAAACTGAAATGCATCCGGAGATATTAATCTAGAATTCAAAGCGCAAACTTTTAATGCTGTCATTCCTTCAAAGAATTCACTTGAAGTTGTCATCTTCTCATCTCCACCAAGTACAAGAATTTTGAGATTTGGGCATAGCAGTCTTTTAGGAAGTTCAACAATCCAACTAGTCTTGAAGGAGACTGCTTTGTAAGGCTCAAAACTTTCATCCTTTGGCCACGATTCAACAACATCTGATTTTATCATAAAAGAAAACTCCGTTCTGTTTGATGCTATCCACAAAGCAAAGTCACGGACCAAGTCATGCATTTTAACATGCCTTTCTCCACAATTTAACAACAAACAAGAATCCTTGAGGATGTCCATCGCCGCAAGCACTTCACTCCTCACCACTTGAATTGAGCCCATACCTTTATACAACTCTATTCCCCATGCATATCTCACCAGCTCCTCTACATAAATCTCATAATCTTCAGGAAATAAAGAGCATAACAAGAAACACATCTTGGTCTCCTTATCATTCAAATAATCAAAACTCACCTCAAGAACTAGGTAAGCATTTTTTTCATCGATGTCCTCTATGTCATCCAATCTGCGGTTGTTGAGTCTCCTATATGCTGCTTCCCACCTATGAAGATTTTTACCTTTCAGAGCACTTGCCAATGTAACTATAGCTATGGGCAGACCTTGACATTTTTTGATAACTTTAGTTGCCACATCCTTAATAGAAGCAACAGAAGAGTCGCTTAAACCAGCTTTGGCGTTAAATAAAGCTCGAGCTTCATTGTCTTCTAAACAACCAAGTGGTATTGTCCTTTGACATTCCATAGCATCACATACTTGTCGACGGCGAGTTGTTAAAAGAATTTTGCAGCCTTTATGATCCTCGGCAAATGGAATTCCTATATTCTCTTTCAAGTCAATTTTTGCCCAAACATCATCAAGGATTATTAGAATCCTTTTATCCTTCTGCAGTTTCTGCAGTTTCAACCAGAATTCTTGTCTTGATTTTCTTCCTCGTTCATTCTTCATATTGAAATCCAAGTATTTTGCAATTTCATCTTGAATTGTTTCAGCGTTTGGCTTTTGAGTCACAGTAGCAATCACAACTTTGTCAAACAGCTTAAATTTTTCGGCATGAGTTCCAACTTCACGCACTAGGGTTGTCTTGCCCACCCCTGCCATCCCCCACAATCCAATCATGCTGACCTTGTCATGTTGTAAGGCCTCAATGATCTGATCGAAAGCTTTTTTTGAAGATTTAGAAACCGTAAAATCCTTAGATGAGAGGAATTCTATGGTCGGAATTGCACTAGTTGAACGGTAGCCCACTGTTCCAAGTTGATCAAATTTGACAAGAAGCTTACAAATAACAAGAGTGTTCTTCATTGCTTTCTTGCTTAAGCGATACCGCCAAATCCAATCAGGACACCAATTGAAACATCTCTTATTTTTTTGTATTTCACTTTCCAAAGTTTCCAAATTTGGTAGGATTTTGTCCGCCTTTGATAACAAGCCTCCAGCATCATCTTCAATTGCTAGAAGTTGCCTCTTAGCATCCTCAATCTTATGTTGCAGCCGAGCTCGAGCACCTATCAGTTCGTGTTTTTTTTCCTTAAGCATTTCAACATTGTTGTGAAAACAACAAATGTAATTAAATTGACGTCCTACTGGCTTCGCCACCCAATCCACGAGCAGTGTTCCCACGCAGTTAGAGAGAGCATCCTCGCAAAACCCACAAGCCATTCTTGACAGCTCAAATTGAAGAAACTTCTGCCAAACATAAAAATATTGGCTATGAGATAAATCATGGTGAAGATACTAAAAAGAAAATTAAAGAATAATGAAGGTGAACTCTCTAAACATACCAAGCAAGGTGAAGATAGTCCAAAGTGTGACAACCAACTGCTTTTTCTTCAGTTTTCTGCCGAGTAACACTTTTTAAGTACGTAACGAGGCAAGGTGAAGACAATTCAAAGTATGAGAACCAAATGCCTTTCTTCAGCACTCTACCAAGCTGAAAACACGTGATAAAAAACAATATTTTTAGATAATTTATAACGAAACATTACTCAGAAAACATGAAATAAAAAAATTTGTGTTAATAGGATAGAAAACCAAAAAAATCGTATCATACTGTAACAGTTAAGCAACAGTCTAAAAACGATTAATTACTTGTTTGGTCAAACAATTTTAGTTGATTTTTTTATTTTGGACACTAAACTGTAAAAAGTAGTGATTTAGTCACCAACATTATAAAGATTTGTTTCTTTGATCATCATACCATTTAGAGTTAAATGTTGGATGAAGATACTACAAGAATATATCATCTTCAATCATATCACTAACAATAATTATAGTAGGCAACTAACCAATTATAATATATAATTGTATAAAGCACATCAAAATTTATATGAAGTACACACTTACATAAGTGGTGAACCTTACTTACATAATTTTTTATTGGAAACATATCGCCTCCAATTATTGTAAAACAATTAACCAATTAAAATTCAATATTTTTATAGGGTTTACAAAAAAAATGTGAAATCCACACTTATAAATGATGTATCTTTATATAATTTTTTTATAATTGATTAATTATAAGATTATAATAAAAAAATTTAGATTAATTTTTTTGTTATTATGATTGGATAATTGTAACATTAAAGTAAAAAAGAAAAATTATAGGATCACTATTATAGGTAGACTGTTATTCACACACGGCCTATGCCCAATTACCACATGGTTATGCCTACGTGAACTTATTTAAAAAAAATAAGTCCTTATAAACAAAATCAATTTGTTTCATTTTCTAACTTCTCTGACTACCCTACTTCATTTAATAGCGCCGCCATCAAACTCCGATGTAGGACCATTCTCTGCTTCTATCGTACGCCGCTCGTCGGCACCGTTTTCCTTACCAAAACTCACCCAAGTCTTCTCCTTGATCCTCCCTTTCCTCGTATCATATCAAGTCTTCCTAAAAACTGATAGAAACTTCTAAATTTAAAACAAAACCCAAGGCCATAAAAACTAGAAACGCCACCCTTACCAACTTATCACCACCAATGGCACCGTTTCCTCCCTCCTGTCCTCCGGCTCCCCATCACAACTAGAGAAGCTCCAAAAACACAAGATCAAAAGACCCTAGAACCCAAAAAAAAAAAAATTATCCGCCTTTCTACTTCTCTGCAACCGACTTTTTTTGTTGTTTTTTTAATATTGAGAAAAAAAGGTTAAATGAATATTCCAACCTTACCACTTCTAGATAGAAGTAATAGATCCGAAGCTTTTCAAGAGGAAATTTGCTTGAGAAATAAATCCAATCCTTTTCAGATCTGATCTACTTCACTGACAAAATTGCAAATTAGATAAAAAAAAATGTAAGAAACACACTTTATTTGTATAAAGAGAAAGCAATGGAGAAATTGTTGCATTTACCTTACTTGGTGCCTTCTAAATCTGCCAGGATTTATTCATGATGAATCATTGAAAACAAAGAAAATAAATTTGAAGATTGGATTTTTTTTCTCTTTCTTATTTATTTTAAGTTTTTAGATGAAATGACAAACAAAGTGGAAACTAAAGAGAAAGAAAATATTGAAGAGTAGCTCTTTTTTTTTTTTTTTAAAGTTACAAGGAAAGAAATGTAGAATCAAACAAAATTCAACTTAAGTTTTTTATTTTTTTTTCTTTTTTTGAGTTGAACGAAAAGCCAACAGAGTAGAAATCAACCTTAAAACTCTTGGCCAAAAGAAAAAAGAAATCAAGATGGCATTGAAATTATCAAAAAGCTTGGAAATTGAAAAGAGAACGTTCACTTATCTACCTGGAAAATTCGAACAAAAGAAATTAACAGAACAATCAACTTCTGATAGCAGAAATGGGTTTTTGCATTTTTTTTTAGATGAAAATGACAAACAAAGTGGAAACTAAAGAGGAAGAAAATATTGAAGAGTAGTTTTTTTTTTTTTTGAAGTTACAAGGAAAGAAATGTAGAATCAAACAAAATTCGACTGAAGTTTTTTCTTCTTTTTTTTTTTTTCTCTTTTTGAGTTGAGGGAAAAGCCAACAGAGTAGAAATCAACCTTAAAACTCTGCGCCAAAAGAAAAAAGAAATCAAGATGGCACTGAAATGATCAAAAAGCTTGGAAATTGAAACGAGAACGTTCACTTATCTACCCGGAAAATTCGAACAAAAGAAATTAACAGAACAATCAACTTCTGATAGCAGAAATGGATTTTTTCTGTTTTTTTTTTTTTGAAGGTTTTATGGGCAAAGGATTTGTTTCGAGATTAGTATGTAAAATGTAGAGAAAAGGAACTTATTTCCATGCAAAGTCTTCTTTTTCTTTTAATATAGTTATTTCATTATTAAATTCCATAGTGTCCGACGAAAGCCATGTGACCGATAAAAGCCATTAGCCATCACTTCTTTTCTTGTCGGGCTCTTCTTGTTTTATTCTTCCTTTCTTATCTAAGTCATGGAAGACCGCACAAATATAAGTCCTTTTATTGGGGGAAATTTCCGAGAAGTAACACAAATATTTATTAGTTCGTACCATATTAAAAATAATTAGTGAAAAAAATAATAATATATTAATAAATAAAATTGAAAATTATTTTTATAATCGTAATGTTCAATGATCTTTATTCAAAATTATAATATATGTATATTTAGTTTATATATATGTATAATTATTTTATAAAATATATACATCCAAAAAATAAAATAAAATAATCACATTTTTGGATATTAATATTATAAAAATAAATTTAATTTTTTTATTCATTTAAATATAAATATTTCTTTTCAATTAATTTTTTATTATAATATCAAATAATAATTTTTTTTTATTGAAACGCCTTTCGTAGTTCGTCCTTGTTTAGAGAACTATTGTTTCATCCTCTTTATATTCGATAAACCAAATTCACAATTAATTAAAAAGAATTTCCCATTAGTAAACCAGATCCTTCCTAATTCGTGATAGAAAACTATTAAGACAGGAAAAGAGCTAGGCCTGAAAATATTTCCTGTGTTCACTAATTAATAATTAGATTAATTATCATGATTCATCACATAAAAAAAGATATATGATACAAATAGTTCAAAAATACAATGAAGATATAATCGTATTTTTCATACACTTGAAAATTATATATTAAGTTATTATGAAACAAACACACAATAATAATACCATTAAAATGGAAAACTTTTATCTAAGGCAAGCTTGGCTATGCATTAAGCCTTTTATGAAGGCTATGTCGGCAAATTTCATTACTTTGTCCAAAATTATTACATTATATGATTAATGTTTTTTATGTGGAAAAAGATACTTCACTTATTATCCTTGTCTCGATTAACTTTAATAATAAAATATGAAAGAAAAAAATAGAATATGATATCCAACAAACGGTCAAAACAAGCAATAAAAGATTAACAATTAAAAGATGGTGCTCTTGTGTCTATCGGTCACCAGATTAATTGAAACAATGTTAACCTAAAGATATTGATGACAGATTTTTAATTTGTTGGTTATTTTCTGCATTAATTACAGGCTTGCTTGTAATATAGTCCAATTCTAACGGTTCACTTTAAAAGAGATATAAATAATAAATTAATTTTTACAATATCTTTTAATTCAAATCAAATAAAATTTAAATTTAATTCGAATATTATTGATTCAAGTTTGAGTAATTTAACAAGTTTAAACATTTTAATAATAATTGATAAATTAATTTAATCGAATTTTTATATTTTTTATTATTTTAATTAAAAATTATTATTTTATATTTATATTTATATTAATATATCAATTCAAGATCAAATTTAAACATATAAAATAAATTTAAAATGAAGTTATGAAAATTAAATTTATTTTTTATTAAACAAATTTAATAAAAAAGTTTGAATATTTTAATTTTTATCTTGAATTAAATTTAAACTTAAAAATTAAATTTTGATCAAATTCGAATTAAATACAAGAATAAATTTCTCTTTTTGAATTGAAGGAAAAATAAAGTAGAAATCAACCTTAAAACTCATTGAAAAAAAAAAGGAAAGCTAGCACTGAAATGATAAAAAGGCTTGGAAATTGAAAGAGAATGTTCACTTACTTGCCTGGAAAATTCAAACAAAAAGAGATTAACAGAAGACCGCTTCTGGTAGCAAAAATGGGTTTTTGCCTTCTTTTTCTTTTTTAGGTTTTATGGCCAAAAGATTTGTTTTAAGATTACTACGTAAAATGTAGAGAAAGGAAGACTTAATTTCTTCTGAGTCTTCTTCTTTTTCTTTTGATACTTTCCTTATTAAATGCCATAATGGCCGACAAAAGCCATGACCCATCACTTCTTTTCTTCTAGGGTCTTATTTTTTTATTCTTCTTTTCTTGTCTAAAGTCTTCTTTTTTTATTGGTCATTTCAAATCTATGGAATATTTATTCATTAGTAAAGTTATAATATATTAATAAATAAAAATTATTTTTGTAATCGTAATGTTCAATGATCTTAATTTAAAATTATAATATGTACATAAAAAATAAAATAAGTATTTTTTTGGATTTTTTATTAATTTAAATATAGATATTTCTTTTCAATTATTTATTTTTATTGTAATATCAAATAATAATATAGAGCTATTGCTTCATTCTCTTTATTTTTAATAAACGAAATTCACAACCAATCCAAAGTAATTTCTACTACTTCTGCCAATGTTCACTAATTATTAATTAGATTAATTACCATGATTCTTCACATAAAAAAATTAATTTAAGTCCAAAAATTTTAAATTACTAATGCACTTCGATTGAAGAATTACGACATTTTAAAAAGACATGATACAAACAGCTTAAAATATAATAAAAGTATAATCTTATTTTACATAAGCTTGAAAATTATATAATTAAGTTATTATGAAACTAACACACAATAATAATACCATTAAAATGGGTAAGCTGTTATCTAAGGCAAGCTTGGCTATTCATTAAGACTTTTATGAAGACGTCGGCAAATTTCATTATTTGTTCACATTGTATGATTAAATTTCCTGATACTTGATTAATATTTTTTATATGTAAAAAAAATACTTTACCCATCATCTTTGTCTTAATTAACTCTAGTAATAAATTGTAAAAGAAGGAAATAAAGTATGATATCCAATAATGGTCAAGACAAACAATAATAAAAAATGGAGCTTCTCTATCTACTGGTCTACAAATTAATGGAAACAATACTAACCTAAAGATATTCATGATAGGTTTCTAATTTGTTGATTATTTTTTACATTAATTATAGGCTTACTTGTTGCAGACGACTATACATGATAATGTAGTTACTCATGAATATCAAATTTTTATAATTAATCATAGTATTTGAATTAAAATTTCATTGTAAACATTTATGTATTATTAATCTTATATATTATTTTTCTCTGTAATATACTGTGAACTTTTTTTTTTTATCTATATCCATCATTGCAAAAGAAAAAAAAGAGAGAAAATAATAATATGAAAAAAGCAAATAATAAAAGGTAAGTAATGTTCTTAACAAGTATTAAATTCTTACAAGGAGCTACGAGAGTGAACTATTTTATTTAATTACTTGAGAATAGAGTATTAACAAGTTATAGATTTGTTAAATCTAATAAATTTATAATGAGACGATAACCATTGGATCAAGAGTATCCAAAGGTTATAAAATAATTTGATTCTAACGGTTAGCTTTAAAATTGATTACTCCTTTATCACGTGTTTCTCATTCTACATATATATCAAATTTAGATGTAAATGATGGATAATGTTTGTGAGATATTTTAATTTGATTCGAATAAAATTTTATAATTTAATAATTATTTATTTGAGTTTAAGTAGTTTAATGAGTTTATATATTTTACTATTTGATTTAAATAATTAATTAATTTAATCTCATTTTATATTTTTATATTTTTATTATTTTAATTAAAATTATTATTTTATCTTTATATTTATATTAATTTGAGTTAAAATTTAAATACATAATCAAGTTTAACATTAAATATAAAATTTAAATTTATTTTTTATTAGATAAAATTAATTGAAAGAGTTCAAATATTTTTATTTTTTTAAGTCGAATTCAAATTTAAAAATTAGAATTTGATTAAATTTAAATCAAATTTAAAATCAAACTTGTCTTTTTGAGTTGAAGGAAAAGCAAAATAAAAATTAACCTTAAAACTCTTAGACCAAAAAACAAAAGAAATCAAGCTCGCAATGAAATGATCAAAAATGCTTAGAAATTGAAAAGAGAACGTTCACTTATTTAATTGGAAAATTCGAATAAAAAAGATTAATAGAACACTCAGCTTCTAATAGCAGAAATGGATTTTTGCTTTTCTTTTTTTTTTTTGGTTTAATGACCAAACGATTGGTTTTATGATTATTATGTAAAATGTAGAGAAAAGAAGACCTATTTTCATCTAAGTCTTCTTCTTTTTCTTTTAATATTGTTATTTCCTTAATAAATTCCACAGTGGCCGACAAAAGCCATGTGACTGACAAAAGCAATGACCCGTGACTTGTGTTATT